TGATAAATTTTCCTAAACATTCTGCAACTAATACGTTCGAACACATTAAATACATATTAAAAATTGATAGATAAAACTTTGAAAAACAATTTAGCAATATGCAATATTTTCCATAAAATATTCATTAGAACAGAAGGCATCCATGCAAACGATTACCTCTAAAAACAAACGAAACAACTTTTGAACTTAAAATAATCAACGGGTTTTTGAGTAAAGTGGTGAGGATGACTGAAATCGATACGTGTGATTGCATCGATCAACGAACAATCAACGATTCACGCTCTTCACCTACGCCGATCCATTTAATCGGAACACCGATAAATTCTTCAATAAAATTCACGTATTCTCGACATTTCTGCGGCAATTCGTCGAATTTCCTAACATTCGACGTGCAACTCTTCCATCCCACGAACGTTCGATATTCCACCTCAACACGATCCCAGTCCTCCGCACGTGCTGAACAAATGCTAATTATTATATCACTTCTAGTCATATATCAATACAACCATTACTTTTTTTTCAGTATTGCAGTGAACTTTTCATACTGTTACTTTTGATATTATAAACACTATATGAATCTCGATAGTGCTAGCCAACAAAATGACGACAGCAATAATGAGAACAGCATCACTGATGGTGATAACGATAACAGATGAGAAAAAGTTACATGGAGGTGAAGTGAGTGGATGCCCATCGAGTTTATAGCCAACTGCAGCTTTAATTTCATCGAAATTATCCAGTATATCGAGCTTTGTGAGAGCTATTCTGAAAATTTTAAAGTGTGAAATTAGAACTGAAATCGTTTCCAGCATTAACATTCTAAATAACCAATTCTGTAGCATAGAGCGAAGCAAAAAACTTGCACTCAGTATACTTTGAGTTATCTTTCATTTCTCATATCCAACTTAAAATGAGTGAGCCAGAGCCAGATAATGATGAAATGCAGAAGAACTGAACGAGTGAAAAATGCATAGGTGTGAAAGTATGAGTAAAAAGAAAAAAGCACAATATGTGAACTAGAAATAACCCCGTGAAACCGTTAACCATGTTCGATCTCTTCAAAAGGAATAAATCGATCCATCCGCAACGACGTCTTCGACCGGTTGTTACTCCAAACTAAACCATCACGATTGATTACAAAACATACTGCTATAAAAACATTGTTGAAAATGAATTGCTGATTTGTTTTGATTAAGATATTTGAGATTTAAAAATCCGAAACTTTCCATAGCTGATTGTGAGCTGATATCCATGTTTTTCGAAGTAACACAAACTTTCAATCAAAACAATTCACGACTAAAAAGCTATGTGAGATAGAAATGAAACGATCATCTCAAAGACACCTAATGTGAAACAAATAAATTCGATTTGACTGCCATTCACCCATACCTCTTTTCCTACGTTTTGCAGTTGATCGCCTACGGCATCATGGAGCTCTGTTGGGAACGGACCAGCGCCAACACGAGTCTGATAGGCTTTGGTAACTCCGATAACCTCTTTGATGGATGTCGGCGGTAAACCTAAACCTGTAACGGCACCTCCGACAGTCGCATTCGATGACGTTACATACGGATACGTTCCTGAAATTCCATTCATTCTTAGTTCTCTACGAAACATTACCATAAACCATTTGCAACCACCCTCCTCATTCAAAATAAATACTCTCATTCAAATACACACTGACTTCAATCTTCCTCAAAAAACTTCATAACATCAAACCGCCAATATCCCGAGCACAGAGATTAACGATTAAGGCTTTACAACACTGACAAAAAATGTCTCAGAAAGACTCATCCAATTAAAAACTGAAACGTTCTATTTACTCCCCC